GGCTCTCCAGCCCTTTACCAAAAAACTGCTACAGCCAGATATTTTAAATTTTGACTCATCAGTCCAGAACACCTGCCGCCATTTTTCTGCACCCCAGTTCCTATGTTTTTATGCATAAGACATGGAAACAATCCCAGCCATGCCACCACCTGCCTGGAGTTTGCATGTTCTCCCCCTGTGCCTGCGTGGGTTTCCTCCGGGTACTCCGGTTTCCTCTCACACTCCAAAGACATGCTGGTAGGTTAATTGGATCCTGTCTAAATTGTCCCTAGTATGTGTATGTATGAATGTGAGTTATGGGACCTTAGATTGTACGCCCCTTGAGGGTTAGGGACTTTTGATTGTACACCCCTTGAGGGTTAGAGACCTTAGATTGTACACCCCTTGAGGGTTAGGGACCTTAGATTGTACGCCCCTTGAGGGTTAGGGACCTTAGATTGTACGCCCCTTGAGGGTTAGGGACCTTAGATTGTACGCCCCTTGAGGGTTAGGGACCTTAGATTGTACGCCCCTTGAGGGTTAGGGACCTTAGATTGTACGCCCCTTGAGGGTTAGGGACTTTCGATTGTACACCCCTTGAGGGTTAGAGACCTTAGATTGTACACCCCTTGAGGGTTAGGGACCTTAGATTGTACGCCCCTTGAGGGTTAGGGACCTTAGATTGTATGCCCCTTGAGGGTTAGGGACTGATGTGAATGTGCAATATATATGTAAAGTGCAGCGTAAATTGACGGCGCTATATAAGTTCCTGAAATAAATAAATAAAATGCTAAACGACTCAACTATGCAGGAAAACATAGAAACTTGGGTATAGATAAATGGCAGCAGGTTCTCTGGACTGATGAGTCAAAATTTTAAATATATTGGAGACAGAAGGATGTGAGGCAGCCGACATCCACAGAAGATCTGTGATTAGTTCTTCAAGATATTTGGAACAACCTACCTGCCGAGTTCCTTCAAAAACTGTGTGGAAGAAGAAGAACTAAGGCTATTTTGAAGGCAAGGGTGATCACCCCAATTATTGATTTGATTTGAATTTCTCTTCTGTTCATTTACTTTCCATTTTGTTAATTTATAAAAAAAAAATAAACTATTAACACTTCTATTTCTGGAATCATTCTTATTTTATAGGCTTTTTTTTCCCCACACCTGCCTCAGACTTTTGCACAGTACTATATATTACACCCATACACTGTATATGTAAATAAAATTATAATAATTTTATATATATATATATATATATATATATATATATATAGTCAGGTCCATACATATTGGGACATGGACACAATTCTAACATTTTTGGCTCTATACACCACCACAATGGATTTGAAATGAAATAAACAAGATGTGCTTTAACTGCAGACTGTCAGCTTTAATTTGAGGGCATTTACATCCAAATCAGGTGAACTGTGTAGGAATTACAACAGTTTGCATATGTGCCTCCCACTTGTTAAGGGACCAAAAGTAATGGGACAGAATAATCATAAATCAAACTTTCACTTTTTAATACTTGGTTGCAAATCCTTTGCAGTCAATTACAGCCTGAAGTGTGGAACGCATAGACATCACCAGACGCTGGGTTTCATCCCTGGTGATGCTCTGCCAGGCCTCTACTGCAACTGTCTTCAGTTCCTGCTTGTTCTTGGGGCATTTTCCCTTCAGTTTTGTCTTCAGCAAGTGAAATGCTCAATCGGATTCAGGTCAGGTGATTGACTTGGCCATTGCATAACATTCCACTTCTTTCCCTTAAAAAACTCTTTGGTTGCTTTTGCAGTCTGCTTTGGGTCATTGTCCATCTGCACTGTGAAGCGTCCAATGAGTTGTGAAGCATTTGGCTGAATATGAGCAGATAATATTGCCCGAAACACATCAGAATTCATCCAGCTGCTTTTGTCAGCAGTCACATCATCAATAAATACAAGAGAAGCAGTTCCATTGGCAGCCATACATGCCCACGCCATGACACTATCACCACCATGATCACTGATGAGGTGGTATGCTTAGGATCATGAGCAGTTCCTTTCCTTCTCCATACTCTTCTCTTCCCATCACTCTGGTACAAGTTGATGTCGGTCTCATCTGTCCATAGGATGTTGTTCCAGAACTGTGAAGGCTTTTTTAGATGTCGTTTGGCAAACTCTAATCTGGCCTTCCTGTTTTTGAGGCTCACCAATGGTTTTCATCTTGTGGTGAACCCTCTGTATTCACTCTGGTGAAGTCTTCTCTTGATTGGTGACTTTGACACACATACACCTACCTCCTGGAGAGTGTTCTTGATCTGGCCAACTGTTGTGAAGGGTGTTTTCTTCACCAGGGAAAGAATTCTTCGCTCATCCACCACAGTTGTTTTCCGTGGTCTTCCGGGTCTTTTGGTGTTGCTGAGCTCACCGGTGCGTTCCTTCTTTTTAAGAATGTTCCAAACAGTTGTTTTTGGCCACGCCTAATGTTTTTGCTATCTCTCTGATGGGTTTGTTTTGTTTTTTCAGCCTAATGATGGCTTGCTTCACTAATAGTGACAGCTCTTTGGATCTCATCTTGAGAGTTGACAGCAACAGATTCCAAATGCAAATAACACACTTGAAATTAACTCTGGACCTTTTATCTGCTCATTGTAATTGGGATAATGAGGGAATAACACACACCTGGCCATGGAACAGCTGAGAAGCCAATCGTCCCATTACTTTTGGTCCCTTAACAAATGGGAGGCACATATGCAAACTGTTGGAATTCCTACACCGTTCACCTGATTTGGATGTAAATACCCTCAAATTAAAGCTGACAGTCTGCAGTTAAAGCACATCTTGTTCGTTTCATTTCAAATCCATTGTGGTGGTGTATAGAGCCAAAAATGTTAGAATTGTGTCCATGTCCCAATATTTATGGACCTGACTGTATATAGATAGATAGATATATGTTTTTATTTAGGACAATGCAGGGGCCTGATGGAGATTCGAGCACTGGGGTTCTGGTCTCCTTTCCCATCTCTCTTCACTCTGGGAGTTTTGCTTCATGTTTGTGTTAGTTTCCTTTTGGGTAGCTGCAGTGTTCTGTTCGAAGTTCAAAAACACGCAGCTAATTTTGACTTCCACCCATACCAGCTGATGTGTGCGATGAGTAGGAGGAGGACGTACATCAGAAAGAGATGGTTTGCACTGACCCAGATATCTGGCCAGCAGGTGGGTGATGGAATTATTCCAGTATGTAAAAGTGGAGCAGGATCTCAGCAGGATGACAAGCCCCTGATGGAGTGCTTGTGTGAGCATAAAACAGGGGTTTTGCGGTGTACCTGCTGTGATCGTGTTACACTCTGCCATGCTGGAAGCAAAGTTGAGCTTGAGTACTTCACTACATACCTACAGAAATGTTGTATCTGGCTCCATTAGTCTCCTGCTGTTCAACTATCTGGGGCAGTAGACTGTGTCTTTCTGATGTCAACTGCTGTTAAGAACTGCATGCAAAAACATGGCAGTACGAGTTGTGTCTCCTTTCTGACTGTATTTGGGGCATTAGTAGATTCCATTGGGGTAGGGTATAACATTTTATTTTAAACCTGAACTCCAGCCTTACTCAACACCCCCCCCCCCCCCCCCCCCCCCCCCCAGTGAGGCTGCAGCATCGTTCTTGATCCCATCCATCACATTTCCTGTCTAAAGGATGGGCAGCTCAGTGGCTAAATGGTTAGCACTTCCACTTGGCAGTACTAGGGTCGTTGGTTTGAATCCCAACCACGGCACCCCCTGCCTGGAGTTTGCATGTTCTCCCTGTGCCTGTATGGGTTTCCAAAAACACTCCAAAAACATGCTGGCAGGTGAATTGGCTCCTGTCTAAATTGGCCCTAGTATGTGTATGAATGGGAGTTAGGGACCTTAGATTGTACACCCCTTGAGGGTTAGGGACCTTAGATTGTACGCCCCTTGAGGGTTAGGGACCTTAGATTGTACACCCCTTGAGGGTTAGGGACCTTAGATTGTACGCCCCTTGAGGGTTAGGGACCTTAGATTGTACGCCCCTTGAGGGTTAGGGACCTTAGATTGTACGCCCCTTGAGGGTTAGGGACCTTAGATTGTACGCCCCTTGAGGGTTAGGGACTGATGTGAATGTACAATATATATGTAAAGTGCTTGACGGCGCTATATAAGTAGCTGAAATAAATAAAGGATTCCATTCATTGTCACTCACCTCTCCTCCCGATACATCCTGTCAATGGCCTGCCTCTCACTGCTGTTTGCGTTCTTTGCTCTTCTTCAAGTGTGGGTGTGATCTTTATGGCTGGCATCAGTCACTGTAGTGCTGTTTCAGAGCATTATATATAGGAACACACCACCAGTGTTCAGATATTTGTGAAGGATCCTTCCCACTGCACTGGGTGGTACAGACTTTAGCTGTGAAAATTGCTGATCAATTGCTTAATTACACCCTTATACATCTGATCAGCAGATTGCGCAGATAATGTCTGCAGTACACAGTGGCAAGCACAGAGGAGCATGCAAATCTAAATGGATGCCCAGGATGTGTTTTTTTTTTTTTTTTTTTTTTTTTCTTTTCATAGAATGCTGCAGACAGGGTGCTGTGATGTTTATAGGAGCCCCTTTGCCCCTCCCACCAAACGCAGCAAAGACCGGTTGAAAGACTCAGTGATGACTTCACTGGGCCTCAACATATTTATCTCTTTAAAATGGAATTATTTGTGTGAAAAGTTTAACTGTGTAGAGAGCAGGAAAGTGGGGGGCAGGGGGGAGGATGTACGAGGGAAGAAATTATATGTGTAAAATTACACTTCAACATTGAAGTGATTCTGAATTTGTTGTACTACAAAGGTGTTTTTTTTTTTTTTTTTTTGTGACCTCGTCCATGAGGAAGCAACTTATTCTCCAGTAAAACATCTAACAATTTGCCTCTATGTCCTCCATCATCTTTTAGTTGCAAGTGACATCTCATTGACGGGCGGGACTGTGGTGCAGAGGATCAGATTGGCAGACGAGGTGGAGAACCCAGGCATGGCCAGCGGGATGCTGGAGGAAGACCTGATCCAGTATTACCAGTTTCTGGCAGAGAAGGGAGATGTCCAGGCACAGGTCAGTCTTTCAGAGAACTTTGTATTCTACTTATCACAGTTACTACTGTTACAGATGACACAACCTGTGACAGACAGACAGAGGGATTTTCAGTTGGACTGTTATGGTCATAGTAATAAATATTGATAAAGTCGTCTTCTGAGTACACACACTGGTTTATGAAAAAAAAAAAAAGAAACCAATCAGGTTTTAGCTTCAGTCTCTGTCCTGGACTTCAAACAGCTCTGAAATCTGGTTGGCTCCATTCTTTATACATTCCCACACACCTTTTTTATGTATTGCCCAGAAGTTGTGTCCTATTTCTGAGCATTTTATATAAGAACACATCACCACTATTCAGTTATTTGTGCAGGCTCCTTCCTGCTGGCCGGTAGGTGGTACAGACTCTAGCTGTGCAATATACTGATCAGTTGCTTGATTACACTCTATTACATCTGATCAGCAGATTGCACAGCTAACGTCTGCAAAATATATATATATATATATATATATATATATATATATATATATATACATATATACATACAATGTGAGTTGGGGACCTTTAAATTGTTAGCTCCTTGAGGGCAGGGGCTGATGTGCATGTACAATAGATAAGTATGCAAGGCGTTGCATAAAATTGACGTTGCTATATAAGTACCTGTAATAATAAATAATAATGTTCTTTTATTCTTTAGGTGGGTCTGGGGCAGCTGCACCTACATGGGGGACGTGGAGTAGAGCAAAACCATCAGGTATGTCCAAGATAATTTAGTATCTAGCATTATAGAACTTTGCATGATGGTCAGTGCTGGGTGTGTACTGTGTGTGTGTGTTGTATGATAGATCAGTACTGGGTATGTACTGTGTTTGTATATTTTGGTAGGTCTGGGATTTGTACAATTTATGTGTTATATGATGGTCAGTGCTGGGTGGTACACTGTCTGTGGTATGAAGATCAGTGCTGGATGTGCACATTGTGCAAATTAACTTTGAACACTAATTCTCTACAGAGGGCGTTTGAGTACTTCAACCAAGCTGCCAACGCCGGGAATTCTCATGCCATGGCTTTCCTGGGGAAGGTAAGAGCCAAAGAGGCTACGGGGACTATAGAGTTAGGCAGAGTTAGGCAATCAGCAGCTGGATAGTTGCCCCCATCCCCATTCAGCAGACACCATTTGTGACCAAAATCTAGAAGCCAAGGACCAGGATCCACACAAGAATGAACGATATGTAAGGGGCTACCTACAATGACTCTGACCTCAGATCCCAGCTTATAGGTGTCCCTCGTGAACTGGATTGGAACATCCCTAGGGAGATGCTTTGTATTATGTGTTAGAGCAGTGGTTCTCAACCTTCCTAATGCCGCGACCCTTTAATACAGTTCCTCATGTTGTGGTGACCCCCAACCATAAAATTATTTACCCAGTAATTATAATTCATGAAGTGTCGTTTTACCTCCAATACTGCTGCTTTCAGCACAGGAGCTGCTTTCAACACAGTAGATGATCTTTACACATCGGAAATATGTGTTTTTCGATTGTCTAAGGCAGGGGTGGGCAAACTTTTTGACTTGAGGGCCGCAATGGGTTCATATATTGGACCCGGGGGCCGGACCAAGAGTAGATGAATGATGTGTATGTGTCATCCATAGTAAGTATAGTAATATTCCCCCATAGTAAGCATAGTAATTAATCCCCCCTATAGTAATTCATCCCCCTATAGCAATTCATCCCCCATATAGCAATTCATCCCCCATATAGCAATTCATCCCCCATATAGTAATTCATCCCCCATATAGTAATTCATCCCCCATATAGTAATTCATCCCCCATATAGTAATTCATCCCCCATATAGTAATTCATCCCCCCTATAGTAATTCATCCCCCCTATAGTAATTCATCCCCCATATAGTAATTCATCCCCCATAGTAATTCATCCCCCATATAGTAATTCATCCCCCATATAGTAATTCATCCCCCCTATAGTAATTCATCCCCCATATAGTAATTCATCCCCCATAGTAATTCATCCCCCATATAGTAATTCATCCCCCATAGTAATTCATCCCCCATATAGTAATACATCCCCCATATAGTAATACATCCCCCATATAGTAATTCATCCCCCATATAGTAATTCATTCCCCATATAGTAATTCATTCCCCATATAGTAATTCATCCCCCCTATAGTAATTCATCCCCCATATAGTAATACATCCCCCCCCTATAGTAATTCATCCCCCCTATAGTAATTCATCCCCCATATAGTAATACATCCCCCATATAGTAATACATCCCCCCCTATAGTAATTCATCCCCCATATAGTAATTCATCCCCCATATAGTAATTCATCTCCCATATAGTAATTCATCCCCCATATAGTAATTCATCCCCCATAGTAATTCATCCCCCATATTAATTCATCCCCCATATTAAGTCCCCAAGTCCCCCCTGTGTCAATTCACTTACCTTTGCTCCGCGCGTTCCTCTCGCCATGTTCCCGCGCCGTTTGATGTAGCATGAAAATCTGTCTCCTATGAGGATCTGTCCCCCTCGACGTATCTGCGCATGTGCCAGTTTCAGGCATTAGCAGCCGATCGGCGATCTCCGGCACATGCGCAGATACGTCGAGGGGGACAGATCCTCATAGGAGACAGATTTTCATGCTACACCGGTCTTCAGGGCGGACTGTGAGAGGAGCCTAGCTCCGCGGGCCGGATTAAAAGGTCCGCCGGGCCGTAGTTTGCCCATTGCTGGTCTAAGGCGACCCCTGTGAAAGGGCCATTCGACCTCCAAAGGGGTCGCGACCCACAGGTTGAGAACCACTGTGTTAGAGGAAGAAAACGGAACGCATGGAGAATATTTCCCTTGTAATGCAGGCCATAGACGGTTCGTTTTTCATTCGCACCGTTAGTGGGGCAATGTCATCGGCCGATTTTCGCAGTTCCTCCTCATTTCTTTTATCGGTCAATAAAAGAAATGGAAAATTTGCGACAAACGGCTGATTTTTTGCAATCATTGGTGGCAACAGAACAACCGATATTATTATTTTTTTTTTTTTCTGTTTTTCGGCCCAAAAATCGGCAGAAAAACGAACCGTCTATGGCCTGCATTACCTGTGTGGTGAGCTATGTCTTCTCTTCTGTCTTTCAGATGTACTCAGAGGGCAGTGACACGGTGATGCAGAGCAATGAAACCGCTCTTCAGTACTTCAAGAAAGCAGCTGACATGGTAAGAAGGGCTTCTGGAGGAAGAGAGAGGGTGCAGGGTGGATGGATTGGTGAGGTAAAGTTATGATGACAGGAGGGGAGAGGTCAGGATGATCACAGTGTGCAAGAAATGGGAACTGGGTAGAAAAGAAGGAAATTGACTAAAGAGGAACCCTTTGGTCCTGGATTAATGATCAGAGGCATCCGCTAACCTGATACAATATTGTCAGTGCTGTAACTTTTAGATTGTAAGCTCCAAGGATCAGGGCCCTCCTAACCCTCTTGTATTGAACTGTATTGTTGCTGTACTGTCTCCCTTTATATTGTAAAGTGCTGAGCAAACTGTTGGCGCGATATAAATCCTGTATAATAATAACTAGCAATGTGTTTTTATTTAAAGTATAGACTCTCTATAGTAATTCTTGTTTGCTAGAGACCACGGGGTTCTGAAATCTCAGCCTAGATCACATAGGGGTTGATTTATTAAAACTGGAGAGTGCAGAATCTGGTGCAGCTTTCCATAGAAAGCAATCAGATTCTAACATAAGTTTATTGAATTATGTTTTGACCAAAAAAAAAAAAAAATGGCAGTTGATTGGTTTCTATGGTAAGCTGCACCACATTCTGCACTCTCCAGTTTTAGTAAATCAACCCCTATGTGATCTAGGCTGAGATTTCAGAAGCAATATTTTTTTTTCCTATTTTATTTATTCATTTTTCTATTCTAGCAAGAAAAGGGAACTTTTTTTTTTTCTAAGAACATACATTTTGATTCTTGTGAAGTGTGATTTTCAGTGATGGGTCCCCTTTAAGCCATCACATCCATTTCAGATTGCAGACACTAGATGGCAGCATGTGACCAATTGAACCTGACACAACTTTATTCTACTAACAGGGTAATCCGGTAGGACAGAGCGGTCTCGGCATGGCGTACCTGTACGGCAGAGGTGTTCCTGTGGTGAGTATTATATCGGGCGGCTGCCCATTGGTATGTTCCTGGCTTCTTTGAGCTGCACTATTCCTGGTGATAGAACACTCAGTGTGTTTAACCTCCTCGGCGGTCTGATTATTTCTGATCTTTTGTGCTGAAAGCGGTACCATTTTTTTGCATGGAAATATGTAGTTATTGTAGGCTGTAATTTTTAGGAATAACTCGCTGAAATCTGTCCGAACAAGAGTCTAGTAAACATCCCGGGGATGATAAAATTTGAAATATGAAATCATAAATTATAATTTAATAAATAATCATAAAAAATAAAAATATAATAATAATAAATTGAATTCAATAATATAATCAAACCAAAAACACTGAAATTTGAAATAGAGCGCCAAGTTCGCACATCGCTGAGCTCAGTCGCAGAATCGTTTTCAGTGTCTGATGACGAATTTCCCCCACGAATCATTATCACTCAATTCTGCAAGTGGTTCTGATTTACTATCGCTGTTCTCTAGCCGGTCTAAACCCGCATCTGACCTAAAGGGATGCTTTTTGGACGCCATGGACGTTTCTCAGTTTCTAGGCAGAAAGAACAGTCAAAATGCAGGCAGGGCGCCGGACAAAGCACTCGGGACAAAATGTATGTGAAATGCATTGAAACAGCAATGTTTTACTATGTAATAATTATTTTAAAAAAAATGACATTTTTACAAAATTTCAAATTTGCCGCCCGTACATCCCCTAACGTCACAGGGACCGGAACACGGAGGCCGGATGCCAGCATCGGCCGGAGGAGATGGCCGGGGACGCTGCAGGGGACACATCGCGGGAGCGAAGGACAAGGTAAGTGCTGCAGGGACTCCCTGAGCAACGCCGCATGGTAAGCCCGAGTGTAGCTCGGGGGGGGGGGGGGGGGGGGTTACCACTCTTGGTACCCAAATTTTACCCCGAGCTACACTCAGGAATACCGCTAAGGAGGTTAATATGATGCTTGAATTAGCTGTGTCCCATAACTTCATATTGCTGCTAGGTTGACTTTTCTCTGTTCCAGATCAGAAAGCCCCTATGGGCTTTAGCCTGTCCTACCTAGTTATACGTCAGTTATGGAAAATATAATAACTAATAACCGGTCTTTCTGGAATTAGTTTTTTTTTTTTTTTTGGTTCAGATGAGAGTTCATTTCTGTGCTTTTTCTTAACAAAAAAGAGAATTTAGACTTGATCATTAACTGAATCTTCACATATCCAGCAATGTGGAAAAGCCTGTAGAAAGTACTGCAAGTGGTTTTTTTTGAGTCTGCGTTTCCACCACTCTCTGATGTTCTTAAAAGAGAAGTTTGGGATTCTAAAAAAAAGAAACACAAATACTCAGCTAGATGGATGCATCATCTGTCCCCTTTCTAAGACTGAGAACTGAGCGATCAGGACTGTTGATTGCTCTGTTCTCAGTCTTCACTGACCCAGTGACTCTCAATCACTGGCTCTCTGCTCTGCCACTCAAGCGCTAACTACAATGCCAGGCTGACGAGGGGGCAGGAGTGGCTGGCTCTGACTGAGGCAGCTGCCAGTCAGGCATCTGGGTGGTTTCCAACATTAAAGTCAGGATGTCTTCAGAGTCTGGACCGACTCTGTGACATTTTATTTATTTTTTTTTTAATTTCAGGTACTTATATAGCACCATCAATGTACACAGCACTTTACATATATATTGTACATTCAGATCAGTCCATAACCTTCAAGGGGCGTACAATCTAAGGTCCCTAACCCTCAAGGGGTGTACAATCTAAGGTCCCTAACCCTCAAGGGGCGTACAATCTAAGGTCCCTAACCCTCAAGGGGCGTACAGTCTAAGGTCCCTAACCCTCAAGGGGTTACAATCTAAGGTCCCTAACCCTCAAGGGGTTACAATCTAAGGTCCCTAACCCTCAAGGGGGTACAATCTAAGGTCCCTAACCCTCAAGGGGCGTACAATCTAAGGTCCCTAACCCTGAAGGGGCGTACAATCTAAGGTCCCTAACCCTCAAGGGGCGTACAATCTAAGGTCCCTAACCCTCAAGGGGCGTACAATCTAAGGTCCCTAACCCTCAAGGGGTGTACAATCTAAGGCCCCTAACTCACATTCATACATACACATACTAGGGCCAATTTAGACAGGAGACAGTTCACCTACCAGCATGTCTTTGGAGTGTTGGAGGAAACCGGAATACCCGGAGGCCCTTGCTCTCTGTGTCTGGTACAGAAGGATTTTTTTAAACCTTTAATAGCCAAGATGCCTACAGTGCTGTCAGGGGGCGTTGGTCTTCATCAAACATTAACACAGGTCCCTTAATGCATTGTGCTCAAGCCCTGAAGAAGGCGGGAGACTTGTTCCCCCTGAAATGTGTTGGCTGTATTTGATGCTCTTAACCATTAAATATTTCTGAACGTCTTCTATACCAGTCACTCCTCCATACACATTCAAGGATCTACTATCTGGTGAGCGTTTCCTTGCGTTGCAGTCAGAGAGGTAGCAGCCTAGGACCAAACCAGGGCTCATCTACACTAGACTCCAATAATGGATTTGCTTCTGTTGAGGAAGAATCACTTTGCAGCAGATCCATGGGAACCAATTTTTGCTTCTGTTGGTCCGGCACGTCAGGCTTGCAGTCTGTACAGAAGCAGTGGCCTCCGCAGAGGTTCAACACATCCCTTGCCAAGTCAAAGCTGCAATCAGCAGGCAGCATGAGCTTTGCTGATTGAGTCCCGGTTCACACTGATACGGTGCGGAATTTGCAGCGTTTTCAGTGTGAATCCCGCCCCGCATCAGAATCACACCCCGTTCATGCGAACCGGTGCGGGGGTGTATGTCAAGTTAACAACACCCCAAAAGCGGTCCGCGAAACACGGTGCAATGTGCAGAATCGGATCAGGTAGGTATGAATACCCATGCGATCCAATTCTAGTGCAGACCCAAAAAAGGGTCCTGCATGGTTTTTTGGTGCGGTGTGAATTGAGCCATACGAAATGTACGGCTCCGATCGCACCGCACACAAATCGCATCTGATTTGTACAGGAATGTGGTGCGGTTCCCCTGTGAATCACATGCGATATACCACACCGCATATGTGAACCCAAGCTGAAGAGCTTTGACTCAGCATGGGGGGGGGTTGGATCTTTGCAGAGAGACCATTTCTTTACCACAGAGACCAAAGGTTCTTCTCTGCAGCATGTTGGAAAGGGACAGGCTTTTCTACTTGGCTGCGGCTGATGTAGAAAATGAACTGTAAGACTTGGCACACCTTCCTATTTTGATGCACCTGAAAATGTGTGTTAGCTGATTTTAAACTGAGACTTCAGTTGGTATTTACAGAATCTCTCTTGGCTCAGATGTTGAAGTTTGTTTTGCGCATATTCTATTTAAAAGGAAACAAAAACTTGCTTAAACTCCAGAGATGCGGCGTCGCCACCCAGCCGCTGTCATCTTCGGGCGGGCCAGCTTGCAGTTGTCAATCACCAGCCGCTGTCATGGGCCGGGTGTGGGACGTTGTCACCTTCGTGCAAGCACAGATTCGCCGTTGCTGAATTTGTACAGTGAGCTGCGCGTGCGTACAGGCAGGTAAGATGCATCAATGCAGAAGAGACAAAGCACGTCTCTTCTGCATTAAACGTCCTGCCTGTCCACCCATTCTTGCCATCCAGCCTAAAGCTCCACTTTAAATTTTGTATACAGTGTGTGCCCAGAATGTGCATACAGCCTGATACTCCTGTATTTTACTTTTTTTTACTTTTCTTTTATTAGTCACTCAGCCACATTGACGGGTCATTTTTAATCTATAAGTTTAGACCTTTTACTCATGTAGTGCTTCCCTTTCCCTGTATGGTAAAATGCATCAAGGATCTTCTGTCTCAGTCTAACTTTTTTTTTTTTGTTTTGTTTGGTTTTTTTATTTTTGTTTGTTTTCTCTTTATTTTTTTTTGTCTTTTTGTTTTTTGTTTGTTTTCTTCCCCCTCTCAGAACTATGACCTGGCATTGAAGTATTTCCAGAAGGCGGCTGAGCAGGGCTGGGTGGACGGGCAGCTTCAGCTGGGCTCCATGTACTACAGTAAGTGTCGCTCTGGACATTATCTCACACATTAGCAGGAGGGTGTTCGGCGTGGTAGTGAGCTATGGATTGGTAGAGCGAGTTCAGCGGGTAGTCTGATGGTGATGTCTTTGATAGAGCTTCGACTCAGCATGGGGGGGGGGGGTTGGATCTTTGCAGAGAGACCATTTCTTCACCACAGAGACCAAAGGTTCTTCTCTGCAGCATGTTGGAAAGGGACAGGCCTTAGAGGGGCAGAGGGCAAGACATTAGAGGGGCAGAGGGCAAAGTATTAGGAAGTATGTCTGTTGGGGCGAGCAGCATTTCTCCTATGTGGATTTCTTTGCTAAGTATTAGCTCTCATGTACACTTGCATTTTTACAGCGGCTATTTTTGGCATTTTACTTTTTTTTTCTACAGTCAGTAAACTCCCCAGCATGTTTTCCTATGTGTCCGTACACACGTAAACTGTATCAACGTTTTTTGGCTGGAAATAAACCCAGGACTAGTGGGTTTCTAGAGGAATTTTTCAGCTGTAAAAAACGCAGTACAATGCCGCAAACTGGCGTTTTTGAAATTTTTTTTTTGACAAAAAAAAAAAACGCAAAAAAATGCGGCTAAACGCAAATGCAAAAACGCTAAAAAAAGCTGAAAAACTCACGTTTGTAACGGCTTACACAGCTAACATTACCAGCGTTATCAAAATGTCCCGTGTGCAGGAGGCCTTAGGAAGCGACTGTCACATAGCAGCAGTGATCCCTGCAGGAGATGGGTCTAGTTTATGACAGTCTACCAGCATAATATGATAAGTGGCTGCTGAGTTGATGAGTTATGTCATGATTACAGATATAAAATAGTGCGGAGTCTGGTGGGAAATGATTGAGAAATGCAAGACGTATAGATCTTCTTTTTAGGTGGTGTTGGCCAAAAGAGCCAAAAATCCTTCCTCTAGGATACTGCAAATCATGAAAATACATGTGCTTAGTAGGAATGTAATGTTGTTTGGTGACACTGACTTGTGTGTTCTCCTCGTAGATGGTGTCGGAGTGAAGAGAGACTACAAACAAGCCCTGAAGTATTTTAATTTGGCATCCCAGGGGGGACACATTCTGGCATTTTACAATCTGGCTCAGATGCATGCCACGGGTACTGGGGTTCTCCGATCCTGCCAAACCGCTGTAGAGGTAACTGAGACACACCATTCCGACAGAACATCATATGTAACAAACTTGACCATATTTATTTGCATAGCGGCCCACAACTACAAACCACAGGTCAGTTTTTATTGGTCCATCATTGCAGTCATTTACTAATTAAAAGTACGTACATTAAGCATCGTACAAGATGATGAGACAGATATACAGTGGGGATAGAAAGTTTGGGCACCCCAGCTAAAAATGTGTATTAATGTGTATAAAGAAGCCAAGGAAAGATGGAAAAATCTCCAAAAGGCATCAAATTACAGATTAGACATTCTTATATTATGTCAACAAAAGTTAGATTTTATTTCCATCATTTACACTTTCAAAATAACAGAAAACAAAAAAAACTTTTGATCCCCACTGTACATCGATCAGCCATAATATTAGGACCAGCTACCTAATATTGAGTAAGTCCTCACTTTAATGCCATAACAGCCCTGACCCATTGAGGTCACTCCTCTAGACAAAGCGTCACACTGTCTCTGCTGGCTTGCCTTCTCCCCATCCTGGTGCCATCTTCTCCCCAGGTAGGTGATGCATACAGACCCGGCCATCCACATGATGTAAAGAAAAACATCGTTCATCAGGCCAGGCCACCTTCTTCCATTGCAGCATGGTCCAGTTCTGATACTCACATGCCCATTGTAGGCCCTTTTGACCATGGACACAGGTCAGCACGGGCACCCTGACCGGTCTATGACCACACAGCCCCATACACAACAAACTGCAATGCATTGTGTGTTCTGATACTTTTCTATCACAAACAGCATTAAAGTATAACTAAGTGTAAATTTCTACATCTACAAATGGCGGTATATATACTGGAATTTTAAATAATTTTTTATTTATACTAGTAATGGCGGCTATCAGTGACTTATAGCGGGACCGCGGCGGGCATTCTAACACTGGGAGGGGGAACTGACTAGCTGTCACTGACATCCCCAGTGACACCAATACAGTGATCAGTGCTAATAAAAAGCACTGACACTGTGCTAATGGCTCTGGGTAGGAAGGGGTTAACATCTGGGGCGATCAAAGGGTTAACTGTGTGTGCGTGTGTTTTTTACTGTGTGATACTTGGTGATCGCCGGGAGCTGGCAGGCAAACACTGGCCGGGACCCGGTGATTGACAGCTGAAGCCGCCAATGCTGGTGCGGGTAGGGTACACGCCCGCCTCCTACCCGTGAATACAAAATCACAAAAATTTATACATGATTTTGCGCAGCCCTGCCACCCTGTAGTAGTAGTTCTCCTATAGGGCGGTCGGGAAGCGGTTAAAAAACAAACAAACAAATTGTACGGTTGCACATTACAGGGTGTGCAGCCCCTGCCATCCTCTGAGACTGCTTAGCAAATGGTTTAGTAGATAAAAGGTCAATGGCAAGTTGGAGTCTGTGGACAGATATCTGCCTTCCTGCCCTCTCCAGTCTGTGCTCCTGACCCGAGCTCTCAGTCCCCTTCACTTGTCTTCCTTCTTCTCTGCCCAGCTGTTCAAGAACGTGTGTGAGCGCGGCCGTTGGTCTGAGAGGTTGATGACGGCTTATAACAGCTACAAGAACGGGAACGCCAACGCGGCTGTAGTGCAGTACTTGTTGTTGGCTGAACAAGGCTACGAGGTGGCACAGAGCAACGCGGCCTTCATCCTGGACCAGAGTAAGAAATTGTCTACTTCTGTGTGATGCATGAGGCTCCGTGCAGAAAGTCCTGTCACATTTGGGGTTACATTTGACACCCTGCCTATTATTTATTACAAGTATTATAGAACACCAACTATTTATGCTGTGCTTTGCATACTGTACATACACATCAGTCCTTGCCCTCAAGGAGCTTGCAGTCTAAGGCCCCTACCTCACATACAGTGGGGCAAAAAAGTATTTAGTCAGCCACCAATTGTGCAAGTTCTCCCACTTACAAAGATGAGAGAGGCCTGTAATTGGCATCATAGGTAGACCTCAACTATGAGAGACAAAATGAGAAAACAAATCCAGACAATCACATTGGCTGATCTGGAAAGAATTTATTTGCAAATTATGGTGGAAAATAAGTATTTGGTCACCTACAAACAAGCAAGATTTCTGGCTCTCACAGACCTGTACCTTCTTCTTTAACAGGCTCCTCTGTCCTGCACTCATTACCTGTATCAATGGCGCCTGTTTGAACTTGTTATCAGTATAAAAGACACCTGTCCACAACCTCAAACAGTCACACTCCAAACTCCACTATGGTGAAGACCAAAGAGCTGTCGAAGGACACCAGAAACAAAATTGTAGACCTGCACCAGGCTGGGAAGACTGAATCTGCAATAGGCAAGCATCTTGGTGTGAACAAATCAACTGTGGGAGCAATAATTAGAAAATGGAAGACATACAAGACCACTGATAATCTCCCTCGATCTGGGGCTCCACGCAAGATCTCACCCCGTGGGGTCAAAATGATCACAGGAATGGTGAGCAAAAATCCCAGGACCACACGGGGGGACCTAGTGAATGACCTGCAGAGAGCTGGGACCAACGTAACAAAGGCTACCATCAGTAACACACTACACCGCCAGGGACTCAGATCCTGCAGTGCCAGACGTGTCCCCCTGCTTAAGCCAGTACATGTCCGGGCCCGTCTGAAGTTTGCTAGAGAGCATTTGGATGATCCAGAAGAGGATTGGGAGAATGTCATATGGTCAGATGAAACCAAAATAGAACTGTTTGGTAGCAACACAACTCACCATGTTTAGAGGAGAGAGAATGCGGAGTTGCATCCAAAGAACACCATACCTACTGTGAAGCATGGGGGTGGCAACATCATGCTTTGGGGCTGTTTCTCCGCAAAGGGACCAGGACGACTGATCCATGTACAGGACAGAATGAATGGGGCCACGTATCGTGAGATTTTGAGTGCAAACCTCCTTCCATCAGCAAGGGCATTGAAGATGAAACGTGGCTGGGTCTTCCAACATGACAATGATCCCAAACATATCGCCCGGGCGACGAAGGAGTGGCTTCGTAAGAAGCATTTCAAGGTCCTGGAGTAGCCCAGCCAGTCTCCAGATCTCAACCCCATAGAAAACCTTTGGAGGGAGTTGAAAGTCTGTGTTGCCCAGCGACAGCCCCAAAAAATCACTGCTCTAGAGGAGATCTGCATGGAGGATGGGCCAACATACCAGCAACAGTGTGTGCCAACCTTGTGAAGACTTCCAGGAAACGTCTGACCTCTGTCATTGCCAACAAAGGATATATAACAAAGTATTGACATGAACTTTTCATATTCACCAAATACTTATTTTCCACCATAATTTGCAAATAAATTCTTTCCAGATCAGCCAATGTGATTGTCTGGATTTGTTTTCTCACTTTGTCTCTCATAGTTGAGGTCTCCCTATGATGCCAATTACAGGCCTCTCTCATCTTTTTAAGTGGGAGAACTTGCACAATTGGTGGCTGACTAAATACTTTTTTGCCCCACTGTACATACATACACATACTAGAGGCAATCTAGACAGGAGCCAATGAACCTACAGCATGTCTTTGGAAAATAGGAGGAAACCCACACAGGCACAGGGAGAACATGTAAAAACTCCATGCTGGTTGTGTCTTGTCTCGAATTTGAACCAAGGATCCCAGTGCTGCGAGGCAGAAGCGCTAACCAGATGTACCTATCATTAGGCGGTGTGCGTTAGTCTAAGCGGTCAAAGGTAATTAATAGTTGAATTTGATAAACAGAACATCACTTATCTCCACATTCACAAGCCCTTTGCCCTGTGATACCGACCTGAGTTTTTTTACTGTTTACTGTACAATTATAGACACTGAGATTCTGAATCACCATCTGCTGCATATCCATAAACTGACATGCATTCAGCGATAAAATATTTGTGTCCAGGTTACTGCATAAATTTAAAGCGGTATTGAACCCAAAAGCAAACATTGCTTATATTGCAGCTTACCAGTTCTTAGATATGTGGTGGCTGCATTCATTTTTCTTTTTTAGATTTTCTTTTCATCTGTTAATCCAGGCAGTAGGACTGTAGTTTTTCAACAGAACAAGCTCTCCTGCTGATGTAGCAGTTGCAGGGCTGAGACAAACCATTTACCTCAGATGGGTGCTTACAGTGACCAGCTTTTATGCATTTATGAAAAAAGTTTATCCCAACAGGAAAAAAAAAACTGCTGCTGTAACTATATGTGACGGGAGTCACTTTGGGTGGGGGGCCAATGGAACACAGCTCACTTTGGAGAGGTGGGGAGACCCCTGTCTCAGCTCCCCATATCCCTCTTATGTGTAAATCACCCTGTGCCTGTTAGGGGTGCAGGGTGATCTGTCCTAATATTGGAGGGGGGGGGGGGGTGTCTCCAGCAGCTCTCCCTCATGATGGGACTGTCTGTTGGTGTGTCTCTTGTTAGTAAATGTAGATTGCCCCACCCTGTGTCATTATGCAGGGAGGGGGGATTTGTCCCCTGAGTGTATATATCTTGTATCTGTGTTCCAATAAAGTAGTCTACCTTCTGGATTACTTCAAGACTGGTGTCATCTAGTCTTGTATGGCCAGCTGTGGTGTCTGTTGTCGGTGTTCGGATGGGGAAGCTTCAATTTATTAGTGTATTCAAATCTGCTAGTACATCTAATACTCTAATATCTAATGCTAGTACATCTAATACTCCCATAGAGTAGCAATGCTGCTGCCAAAGGTGCCCACTGTGCTCCTTCATCCAGAGTGGGGATGCTCTAATACAGGAGGTGTGTTACTGGTCAGATCACCAGGTGAAAACAGGGGAGGGGGAGCCTTAAAGAAAACTAATGCAGCCGCCACATCTGATGATTGGTAACCTGCAATATATTACATTTTGAGTTTAAATGTGCTGTAAAACCGGCTTGGAATCTCTAGAGATAAAACCCACCCCTGTTATAGAATGTGCACCCTGTAGCAGTTCTGCATGGCCAGGAGGAGGAGGGACAGGAAGGGCAGCTGCTCTGGACTCCACTTCTATAGGCTGACAGGGCAGTGGCAGCAGTTTAATCACTGGTGACCCTGCAGGAAGGTTCCGTGCTGTCATTGCACACTCCTGGGTCTAAGTGAGACCTAGCTGACAGACCGGAGCTGTACTGCAATGCTGAGGCAAGCAGTGGCAGTTGGGAATGGGATCCTAGCTAGGGAAGACCATCAGGCACGTGTAGGGGAGGGGGGGAGTTGGTGCAGGGAGATACAGTTTGGCATCTTTGCTCTGGGCACAGGATGACCTTGTCTTGGCACTGTAGATACAGTCATGTCCCAAAAATCTTGCCCTCCTTGCATTTCTGTCAGATAACGCACCACTTCACCCAGAAAATTGTTGCAATTACAAATGTTTCCTCATTCTCATGTTTATTTCTTTTGTTTGTATTGTTATGCCACAAAAAAATGGAGAAACAGCCAAAATTGACACATTCCACGCAAAACCCCCAAAATGGACTGGACAAAGTTATTGGCACCTTCTCAAAATTGTAAGAATTAATTGCATTCCAAGTTTATGATGCTCCTGTAATTTGTAATTAAACTCACCTGTATCAATTAATGGGTGCTGACAATATAGAAATCACACCGGCAACCAGTTAAAATGGTGAAAAATTTACTCAGCCTTCCTATTGTGTGTCTCTGTGTGCCGCATGGAGAAGAGAGAGAGCAACAGATTGTCTAAGGATTTGAGAACAATAATTGTGGAAAAGCATGGACAATCTCAAGGTTACAAGTCCATCTCCAGAGATCCCAATGTTCCTGTGTCCACTGTGTGCAATATTGTCAAAAAGTTTACAGCCCATTGCACTGTAGCTAATCTCCCTGGACGTGGAAAAATTGATCAACGATTGCAACGAAGGATTGTTGGAATGGTGGCTAAAGAACCTCAATCAACTTCCAGACAAATTCAAGTTGACCTTCAGGCACCGGGTACAACTGTGTCAGCTCACACTATACGTCGCCATCTGAATGAAAAGGGGCACTATGGTAGTAGACCCAGGAGAGGACCCCACTGCTGACACAGAAATATGGTAGTAGACCCAGGAGGACCCCACCGCTGACACAAAAATATGGGAGGAGACCCAGGAGGACCCCACCGCTGACACAGAAATATGGGAGGAGACCCAGGAGGACCCCACCGCTGACACAGAAATATGGGAGGAGACCCAGGAGGACCCCACCGCTGACACAGAAATATGGGAGGAGACCCAGGAGGACCCCACTGCTGACACAGAAATATGGGAGGAGACCCAGGAGGACCCCGCCTCTGACAAATATGGGAGGAGACCCAGGAGGACCCCACCGCTGACACAAATATGGGAGGAGACCCAGGAGGATCCCACCGCTGACACCGAAACATGAAAAAGCCAGATTGCAGTTTGCCAAAACTTACCCAAGGAAGCCAAAATCCTTTTGGGAGAATGTACTGTGGACAGACAAAACAAAATGACAGCATTTTGGTAAAGCCCATCATTCTACTATTTTCAGAAAAAGAAATAAGGAATTTAAAGAGAAGAATCCCATCCCTACAGTCACACATGGTGGGGGGGTCACTGTTGTTTTGGGGTTGCTTTGCTGCTTCAGGCACTGGATGTCTGGGCCGTGTGCATTGCAATATGAAATCTGAAGACTACCAAAGAATTCTGGGGTGCAATGTAGGGCCCAGTGTCAGAACAAAGGGTCTCCGTCAGAGGTAATGGGTCTTCCAGCAGGACAATGACCCAAAGCACACATCAAAAAGCCCACCGAAATGATTCCAGACAAAGAACTGGAGAGGACTGAACTGGCCAGCAATGAGTCCAGATCTCAATCCCATAGAGCTCCTGTGGAGAGATCTCAAAAGTGCAGTTGGGAACAGGAACCCTTCCAATTGGAAAGCAGTTGGTGAAAGAAGAGCGCTCCAAAATTCCAGTAGAGAGGTGGAAGAAACTCATTGATGGTGACAGGAAGCCCTTGATATCAGTTATTGTTTCCAAGGGGTATACTACCAAATATTAAATTTAAGGGTGCCAATAATTTTGTCCAGTTCATTTTTGGGGTTTTGCATGGAATGTGTCAGATTTGGTTTGTTGTTTCTCCACCTTTTTGTGTCACCAATACAAACAGAAGAAATAAACATGAGAATGCCCAAACATTTGTAATTGCAACAATTCTCTGGGCGAAGTGGTGCGTTTATGACAGACATGCAGAGGGTGTGGGGGGGGGGGGGGTCAGTATTTTTGGCCATGACTCTGATCCGTGAGAGAAATGACAGAAGTGTAAAGGGATGAATGGATTAATTTCACTGTTTATAAGGCTTCAGAGGGGTTTAGTTGTTGCTTCTAATTGTTTCATTAGACTTTGGAAATACAGTTAATATCCAGGCAAACCGTGAAATACACAGATACATGTAAGCCAGATGTTTTATCTGCCAAAGAGTCCATCCAGTCATGAGATTTTTATATCTGTCAGACAGTAGAGCCAGGCTGGTGACCTGATTTTTCTTTCCTGCAGTTGGGCAATAATGCTTAGTCATCTCCCAGCCCCCACTCTATGATTGGACAGCAGCCCATCTGCCTCTCACTCTGCTTTCTCCTTCTATCAGCATGTTCCTTTTCAGCACATGTGCTGCCCCTCCGTCTCCCACAGCTTCAGAGGTTTAACGTTCTACATCTTTGTCCACAGAAGAAGCCTCCCTGGTTGGTGAGAATGAGACTTTCCCCAGAGCTCTGCTACATTGGAACCGAGCGGCCGCTCAAGGTTAGTGCAAATATTTTACATGATGGTAAATCTGCCATAGAAAGTACACTTTATTGCCAAAAGTATTGGTCGGCCGGCCTTTCCACGTACATGAAATTTAATGGCCTCCCAGTCTTAGTCCGTAGGATTCAATATTGAGTTGGCCCCGCCCTTTGCAGCTATAACAGCTTCAACTCTTCTGGGAAGGCCGTCCACAAGGTTTAGGAGGGTGTCTATGGGAAGGTTGGACCATTCTTCCAGAAGCACATTTGTCAGGTCAGGCACTGATGTCGGGGGAGGAGGCCTGGCTCACAGCCTACGCTCTAATTCATCCCAAAGATGTTCTATGGGGTTGAGGTCAGGACTCTGTGCAGGACAGTCAACTTCCTCCACCTCCATGCTCCAGGCTCTTCCATGGCTTTATGAACCTTGCTTTGTGCACTGGGGGGGGGGGCAGTCATGTTGGAACAGGAAGGGGCCATCCCCAGACTCTTCCCACAAAGTTGGGAGCATGAAATTGTCCAAAATGTCTTGGCATGCTGACGCCTGAACAGTTCCCTTCACTGGAACTAGAGGGCCAAGCACAACCCCTGAAAAACAACCCCACACCATAATCCCCCCTCCACCAAACTTTACACTTGGCACGATGCAGTCAGGCAAGTACCGTTCTCCTGGCAACCGCCAAACCCAGACAAGTCCATTGGATTGCCAGACAGAGACAAGTGATTGGTCACTTAAGAGAATACAGCTCCACTGCTCTAGAGTCCAGTGGCGGCGTGCTTTACACCACGGCATCCGATGCTTTGCATTGCACTTGGTGATGTAAGGCTTGGATGCAGCTGCTCGGCCATGGAAACCCATTCCATGAAGCTCTCTACGCACTGTTGTTGTGCTCATCTGAAGGCCACATGAAGTTTGGAGATCTTTAGCTATTGTCGTGTTACGTGGCCTACCACTTGGTGGCTGTTGTTCCCAGTTGCTTCCACTTTGTTATTATCCCACTAACAGTTGAGCGTGGAATATTTAGTAGCCAGTAAATGTCACGGATGGACTTATTGCCCAGGTGGCCACCTATCACGGGACCACGCTTGGAGTCACTGAGCTCCTGAGAGCGACCCATTCTTTCACCAATGTTTGTAGAAGCAGTCTGCATGCCTAGGGGCTTGATTGTATACACCTGTGTCCATGGAGGGGATTGGAACATCTGAATCACATGATTGGGAGGGCGGGGCCAATACTTTTAGCAATATAATGTATATGTCCAGCTAACACTGGGTTGTGTGGGGGGTTTTTTTATTTCGTTTTTTATGAAAAGTGGAAAGATCAGAACCCCTTTTGGTGTTTTCTGCTATCCAGGGCTCCATTACTTCCACTCATTTACTGCTGGGAACAACGATTTTACCCGTCAGGAAATGAGGGGAAATCTGCTAAAGGTAAACAGAGAAAAAGCTGACAGGGGTTCTAGCCTAGCCCTATTTTGTGTTGCTGTTGGAGAGTTCCCCTTCATTTCCTGTCTGAGGAAACTGTTGTCACCAGTACAGGAAGTGAGGGAACATTTTTTTCTAAGACCTTGTTTACGCTTGTGGTTGAGAAGCAGTAAAAAACATGTGGTTGAGTCCGGTTTTTTACCGCCACCCAACCGCAACCCATTAAGGTGCAAAGGCAGCAGATGAGTGTGTATGTGTGTGCCAAAAATGATCCCTGCCTTCGCATTCAGCGGGCTTTACTGCCCACCAAACCCGACCCATTCAGCTGAATGTGGATGCCCTTCAGCCATGTGTAATGCAGGTGGTTATGGTGCACTGGTGCAGGGTTTGAGGGGTAAAACAGGCAATGAGGTGGTGATATATAACATCTCCTCACCACCTCTCAAATGCCCCCCTAACAGCGATCTGCTTGTGAGGGCACCACATGTGTAAAGAAACCCTAACAGAGGTGGTAATCCTTCCCACTCTATTCAAAGCTAGAAAGAAAGTCTTGGCTGGACATACACCTTTTATGCCTTTATGTTTTTGAGTAATTTTCATGGAAATAATCATCTGGCAAGAATTGTAGAAATCTGTATTAGTGGTCATGTAATAAATATAGCAGCTCGGCTTTGTGGAGTCTTCACTGCAGTCATTGGTGTCTTGCAGGGTACACGTTGGCCCGGCTAAAGCTGGGTGACTATCATTACTACGGCTATGGGACAGAGGTAGACTATGAGACGGCGTTCATTCATTACCGCCTGGCGTCGGAGCAGCAGCACAGCGCCCAAGCCATGTTCAACCTGGGATACATGCATGAGAAGGGTCTGGGCATCAAACAGGTCAGTGAGGAGTGAGATCATTTACACAGCAAGTGACTAAAGAAGAAGAAAAATATGTGTGTGTGCGTGTGTATGTATGTACAGTGGGGATCGAAAGTTTGGGCACCCCAGCTAAAAATTTGTATTAATGTGCATAAAGAAGCCAAGGAAAGATGGAAAAATCTCCAAAAGGCATCAAATTACAGATTAGACATTCTTATAATATGTCAACAAAAGTTAGATTTTATTTCCATCATTTACACTTTCAAAATAACAGAAAACAAAAAAATGGCGTCTGCAAAAGTTTGGGCACCCTGCAGAATTTATAGCATGCACTGCCCCCTTTGCAAAGCTGAGACCTGCCAGTGTCATGGATTGTTCTCAATCATCGTCTGGGAAGACCAGGTGATGTCAATCTCAAAGGTTTTAAATGCCCAGACTCATCTGACCTTGCCCCAACAATCAGCACAATGAGTTCTTCTAAGCAGTTGTCTAGAAAACTGAAACTGAAAATAGTTGACGCTCACAAAACTGGAGAAGGCTATAAGAAGATAGCAAAGCATTTTCAGATGTCAATATCCTCTGTTCGGAATGTAATTAAGAAATGGCAGTCATCAGGAACAGTGGAAGTTAAAGCAAGATCTGGAAGACCAAGAAAAATATCACACAGAACAGCTCGCAGGATTGTGAGAAAAACAATTCTAAACCCACGTTTGACTGCGCGATCCCTCCAGAAAGATCTGACAGACACTGGAGTTGTGGTACACTATTCCACTATAAAGAGATACTTGTACAAATATGGTCTTCATGGAAGAGTCATCAGAAGAAAACCTCTTCTACGTCCTCACCACAAAAATCATCGGTGGAACTTTGCAAACGAACATATAGACAAGCCTTAAACATTTTTGAAACAAGTTCTGTGGACCGATGAGGTTAAAATTGAACTTTTTGGCCGGAATGAGCAAAGGTACGTTTGGAGAAGAAGGGGCACAGAATTTAATGAAAAGAACCTCTGTCCAACTGTTAAGCATGGGGTTGGATCAATCATGCTTTGAGGTTGTGTTGCAGCCAGTGGCACAGGGAACATCTCACGAGTAGAAGGAAAAATGGATTCAATAAAAGTTCAGCAAATTTTGGATGGTAACTTGATGCCATCTGTGAAAAAGCTGAAGTTAAAGAGAGGATGGCTTCTACAAATGGATAATGATCCTAAACACACCTCGAAATCCACGGGGGATTACATCAAGAGGCGTAAACTGAAGGTTTTGCCATGGCCTTCACAATCTCCTGACCTCAACATAATTGAAAATCTATGGATAGACCTTAAAAGAGCAGTGCGTGACAGACAGCCCAGAAATCTCAAAGAACTGGAAGACTTTTGTAAGGAAGAATGGGCAAAGATACCTCAAACAAGAATTGAAAGACTCTTGGCTGGCTACAAAAAGCGTTTACAAGCTGTGATACTTCCCAGGGGGGGCAGTACAAGATATTAACTCTGCAGGGTGCCCAAACTTTTGCAGACGCCATTTTTTTGTTTTCTGTTATTTTGAAAGTGTAAATGATGGAAATAAAATCTAACTTTTGTTGACATATTATAAGTATGTCTAATCTGTAATTTATGCCTTTTGGAGATTTTTCCATCTTTCCTTGGCTTCTTTATGCACATTAATACAAATTTTTAGCTGGGGTGCCCAAACGTTCGATCCCCACTGTGTGTGTGTGTGTGTGTGTGTGTGTGTATATGTGTGTGTGTATATATGTATATATATACATATATGTGTGTGTGTGTGTGTGTGTGTATATATGTGTATATATATATATATATATATGTGTGTGTGTGTGTGTGTGTGTATGTATATGTGTGTGTGTGTGTATGTATATGTGTGTGTGTGTGTGTATATATATGTATATATATATGTGTGTGTGTGTGTGTATATATGTGTGTGTGTGTATATATATATATGTGTGTGTGTATATAAAATGTGTGTGTACACATGCGCACACACACACACTCGTGCAAAAGTTCATTAATTTCAGTGCAGCAACTTAAAAGGTGAAACTAATATATGAGATAGACTCATTACATGCAAAGCAAGATAGTTCAAGCCGTGATTTGTCATCATTGTGATGATTATGGCTTACAGCTTGTGACGTGAGTGACTTTTGGGGGTGGGGGGACCTCTGTATCATATTCTCATTATGTTTAAGGCACCCTGTGCCTGTTAAGGGGTACAGGGTGTGTATGTGAATGTCTGAGTCCTGTGTATAGTGTGTGTTCCTTTGTTCTCGGCCACATGGCTGTCCATTGTCTGTTTTCCATGTGCTACCCCCCATTGTGCTGTGTCTTCCTGTCCAGCCAACTATTATGGGATGTACTGCTTGTGTATTGGTGTGGGGGTTGGTAAATGCCCTTTACCATGTGTTTCATCCCATTGTTCTGTGTCTTGGTGGGATGGGGCGGGCTTATGATGTATTTCCTGTTCCTGGTTGTCTTTCCCCGCCCTCTGTATATATCCTGTGTTTTGTGTAAAATAAAGTTGAGTTGGCTTTCTGTATTAAGAAGAGCTGGGTGCTGTCTTTTTCCTGAGGGATTTCAAGGGTGTGGTCCGTGGATGGTGTTCGGACAGGGGAAGCTGCGGTATAACGGAATATACCCAAGTGCGGTCGGGTACCGGTTCCGTTTCATTGGTGGCAAGCGGTGGGATTGTGCTTCCAGCTGTAAACACATCCAAACCACCACCGGGATTCAAGAGCAGGAAAAGACGTCGGTCACCCCAGTAGAGCTATGGACCTGGCATCAGAGTTCCCAGGGCTGCTGCAGATCGTCCTTGCAACATACCCTAGGACTGTGTCTACGGATCAGTACCTGAAGCTCAGGCAGCGGATTTGGGAGGTGCTTTGGAGAGGAGTGGTCCAGGCTGCTGGTATGGACAAAGGCAAGTGCTATCCAACCCCAGGGGAACGGGCCAGGGACCATCGGAAGTCACGGATGCCATTCCTGGGAGAGCAACCCCAGGAGCAATGGGTGGCTGAGTTGGACAGACTGGTCCAGCAGGAGATAGAACTGGACAATAGATATCGGGCTCTGCGGTGGTACGCAGAGCAGGAATATTTAGGGGTGTCCACAGAGTGCTTTCCTGAGGGACTTGACTTTGGTGGGCCTGGATTGCTGTGGGAGAGCCTTACAGACCTTTTTGTGTTTGGCGATAGAGGAGAACCTATTCTGAAGGCGTTACGAGAAGGCAGAGAGGCTATGTTCAGTCTCAGAGGGGTCTCGGAGCTTGAGCCAGATCTGCAATACCTGCTGATGAAAGAACTGCATCTGGAAAGGGCATACAGGCAGCTGCTAGGACATGTTCGGCAGCATGCCCAAGAGTCATCAGCGGAAATTCCAGAGACTGGGGATCTGATAGACCTCTCAGCTGAGGAGGAACCAGCAGTAGACCTGGCAACAGGGCCAAAGAGTACTGAACTCTGCCCAGCACTGGTAATGTCTCCTGAGTTCCATGGACAGGAGATGGTGAGCCCTGATCCCCAAACCCCAGTTCCAGAGGCTGGGGATTTGATTGATTTTTATTCTGAGGAGGAACCAGCCGGGGAGCCGCCGCCAGCTGAAGTGCTGACAACTGGACAGAGGGTCCAGGACCTCTGCCCCATGCCTGTGGTAGTTTCAGAGGCCCAGGGTGAGAAGGGAGAGGAGGTTGTTGTCCTCCCTCCCCCACAGTCAGCCAGAGTGGAGGAAACTGTTTTCCCTCCCAAGCCAGAATCTGTGCACCAGGGGGACAGTGACAGCGGAATTCCATCCCAGCAGCAGATCCACAGTCTGGGAGGGGAGGAAGCCGGCCTCCCTCCTTTACGGTTATCCGGAGCAGATGTGGGGTCCCCAGCAGAAGTGCTGGCAACAGGGCAGAGCGCCGCTGGCCTCTGCCTAGCAACTACAGCCACCACCTGGATACCCCAGGGATGCTGGGCAGTCGGCCCAGATCCCCCACAGAGGGATGAAGGCGGCCCAGCCACCCTGTCTTCTCTCCAGCGGCTGAGAGGATTTCTGGGAGAAGGACCAGTCCGTACTTCTCCCCAGCGGCGGGTATGTTCTACGGGAGAGGCAGAGGTTGGCTGGGTGAGTAATGCTTGGTGTGGGACAATTTGCATGGGGTACTGTGTGGGTGTTGGCACTGAGGGACTGGAGGTACCGACTAACTTCAGAGTACATCCGTCTGGGATCTACTCCTGCGTTAGTCTCCTGCCGAAAGGGGAGATATGTGATGGGAGTGACTTTTGGGGGTGGGGGGACCTCTGTATCATCTTCCCAAATTCCCATTATGTTTAAGGCACCCTGTGCCTGTTAAGGGGCACAGGGTGTGTATGTGAATGTCTGAGTCTTGTGTATAGTGTGTGTTCCTTTGTTCTCGGCCACATGGCTGTCCATTGTCTGTTTGCCATGTGCTACCCCCCATTGTGCTGTGTCTTCCTGTCCAGCCAACTATTATGGGATGTACTGTTTGTGTATTGGTGTGGGGGTTGGTCAATGTCCTTTACCATGTGTTTCATCCCATTGTTCTGTGTCTTGGTGGGATGGGGCGGGCTGATGATGTATTTCCTGTTCCTGGTTGTCTTTCCCCGCCCTCTGTATATATCCTGTGTTTTGTGTAAAATAAAGTTGAGTTGGCTTTCTGTATTAAGAAGAGCTGGGTGCTGTCTTTTTCCTGAGGGATTTCAAGGGTGTGGTCCGTGGATGGTGTTCGGACAGGGGAAGCTGCGGTATAACGGAATATACCCAAGTGCGGTCGGGTACCGGTTCCGTTACACAGCTCATAAAAACCCCAAATCCACAATCTCAGAAAATGAGAATATTGTGAAAAGGTGGAATATTCTCGGCTCAAAGTGTCCCGCTGTAATCAGTTAATTAAGCCATAACACCTGCAAAGGGCTCCTGAGCCTTTAAATGGTCTCTCAGTCTGGTTCAGTAGGAATCACAATCATGGGAAAGACTGCTGACCTGACACCATCATTGACACCCTCCATAAAGGAGGGAAAGCCTCAAAAGGGAATTGCAAAAGAAGTTGAATGTTCCCAAAGTGCTGTATCAAAGCACATTAATAGAAAGTTATGTGAAAGGGAAAAGTGTGGAAGAAAAAGGTGCACAAGCAGCAGGGATGACCTCAGCCTGAAATTAATGTACTTTTGTACGATATTCTAATTTTTTGAGTTTCACCTGTATGTATGTATGTATGTATGTATGTATATGTGTGTGTATTTATATGCACCTGTAAAGCATAGCACCAGTGATTAGCAGATCGCTGGTGCCATGCAGGTCTCCTGCAGACCTGTCAACATCTGTGTGCTTGTAAGTCCCGTATGAGCAATCCGATACACTCTGAAAGGAAGAATCAATGAGCTACTACAGTGCTCTACAGCTCTGTGGTAGTTTTATTGAGAACTGCAAGCCGGCATGCTCTAAGGCTGTTGGGACTTGTAGTTTTCTCATTCACAGAGGACTGAGATATTTTTTTTTCAATTTTGACAGCTAGCGGGGGAATAAGATCGTCCACTAGCTGTCAAAGCAGAGGAGCGGGGGCCAGTCCTCTCATAACATGTTACACCCTGAATATGGATGTAATGTGTTATGAAAGGCGAATTTAACCTTTTAACTTTTGTCTGCGGCAGTTCATTAACATTAACCGATGTAATGTCCTGTCAGTGTGTTCCCTGCACTGCAGAGCAACTGACTCCTCGCTCTGAGCTCACATATAAATATTTGGTAGTGCTTGAATTTAAAAAAAAATACTGGTTGTACCTACCTGCACTGTATTGCTGGCACCTGTTAATGGGTGACCACTACTATACTGTTGGCCTGCGTGCCTTGTCTGTTTAGTATGTGTTGCATTGGCTCTTTACCTGCTGAAATATGAAAAGAATAAATATGATTGAACAGAGAAAAATAAATGACGCGTTTAATGAATTCAGAGCTAAATTATTCTGCCTGCCTGCAGTTCAACCTTAACAGTTTCTCACTCTTTTCAGGATATTCATTTGGCCAAGAGATTCTACGACATGGCAGCTGAGGCCAGCCCAGACGCACAGGTCCCCGTCTTCCTGGCGCTCTGTAAACTGGGAGTATTGTATGCTGTGCAGTACCTGCGGGAACTGAATGTAAGTCAATAAAAGAAAGCTATATCCCCGTGCTCAAATCTTAATAGTTTCTACCAGGGGCGTCCCTATGGTTGGTGTCACCCTGTGCCGGAACACTTGGTGTCACCCCCTACGCCGATCCCCGCAGGATGGATAGGATCTTCAGATTGAGCGTAATGGATCTGAGTCCGATCCATTATCCTCCCCAATCCGCAGATCCGATTCATCCTGTGGGGATCGTTGGCTTGCAACCTATACGGGGTTAACCGATCGCTCCATGAAAAGGTACGTTTTAAAGCAAGACGCCCGTCGGCTTGCTTTAATACATACCTTTTCGTGGAGCTCATGGAGAGATCCGTTAACACCGTATAGGTTGCATGCCGACGATCCCCGCAGGATGGATGGGATCTGCAGATTGCGGAGGATAATGGATCGGATTCAGATCCATTATGCTCAATCCACAGATCCGATCCATCCTGCGGGGATCATCGGCTTGCTTTAAAACTTACCTTTTCATGGAGCGATCAGTTAATCCCGAAGGTTGCAAGCCGATGATCCTCTCAGGATGGATCGGATCTGCAGATAGGGGAGGATAATGGATCGGACTCCCATCCATTATGCTCAATCCGCAGATTCGATACATCCTGTGGGGATCATCGGCTTGCTTTAAAATTTACCTTTTCTTGGAGAGATCAGTTAACCCCAAAGGTTGCAAGCCGACGATCCACGCAGGTTGGATCTGCGAATTGGGGAGGATAATGGATCGGACTCAGATCCATTATGCTCAATCCACAGATCCGATCCATCCTGCGGGGATCGTCGGCTTGCTTTAAAACTCACCTTTTCGTGGAGTGGGTCCTGTGTCACCCCGTGCAATAGGTGTCACCCGGTGCGGCACGCACCCCCCTGCACCTGACTAGGGACACCCATGGTTTCTACATGTATATAATCAAATAGCTGCTAAAGGAGAGTGAGCCCACTAACACCAAAGATTCTGGATCAACCCTCTGCACACTGCAACGCACCCTCTCTAGCAAACTCTGCAATAAAAAAAATAATAGGGATTTTTAGTTCACATACATTGTATGTATGTATTTACGAGGGGCGTTCAAGTCCAACTGGGACTTTTAATTTTACAAGTAGAAAAAGTGAAGCTATTGTAGCTACACACGGTAGTAAGTGGAAACTGTGTCCTATTACTGATTTGTGGCGCACATATCACGGGCCAGTTCATGGACTCTCAATCAGTGGCAGACAGCAGTGTTAGTGCGTGCATGGAACAGCGTGTGGTGATGAAGTTTCTTGTGAACGAAGGCGTAAAAACCCTCAGATACCTACAGAAGACTTCAAACACAGTACAGCGATGAGCATGTGAAATACAGACAGAGATCCTCCTGCGCAAAACGGAAATAAACCTACTGGAAGCTGCCAGCACTTAACCTGCTACCCACACAGTGTAAATATTAATAAAATTAGTAAAATTATATATAGTGCAGCGCTCAAGAAACAATACTAACTCAAATACTACAATAACTGTGCTCACATGCAATAGTGTCACAAAATGAATCAAACACAAATCATTAAGTGAGATATCTTCATTATAAAGTGCCACTCAGTATTATTCCCTATCACTTAGTGCCCACATAATCCAACAAATATATATAAAAATAAATAAACTACCATTTGAGAAAATCATTTTCACAGTGCTCCAAGTGTAATAACGTGACCACACTTTATATACTAATCAAAAAAGTCCAAAAAAGTAGTAGAAATGTCCATGAAAACTGATATTAATAAATTCATTCAATGTGCAAAAAAATGTGCAAAACAAATGTGTTCTTATTCCGCAACCGTGTCACTCTTCACCTCCTAAGGCTAGATTGCCTCCTCACCTCCTTAAACCGACCCCTAAGGGCCAAACAGCTTTCGCGATCACTCTGGATCCTTATCCCCTGGCGACAAGTACTTCTCCTGACGTTGTGGATCACTTTAGGGTACATCCATTACCCCCAATCGGAAGCCTCTAGAGAACAATTGCTCACCAACCCAGTGAACAGAAAAGAAGAATCCTCTAAGTGCAGTATTAAGGCCAAAACACTTTAAAGGTAATGCTCAAATATACATAGCCACTCACATATGTCCGTAGTCTTCCTTGACCAGTATGTGGGTGTGCTGCATGTAATCAGAAGGACTTCCTGGGTATACCAAGATGGCGGCTGGCGCCGGAAATGCGTCACCGCGTACCAGAAGTTTGCGTGCTAAAGTGCCTACGCGTTACGTCACTATCACTCGTGACTTCCTCTGGGCATGAGCATGTGATATTATAAAAGTGCGGCGCTTATAACAACATAAATAAATAAATAATAAAGTGCTAGATATACCAACATTGTGAAAGACTGTGGAAAATAAATAAAAGATCTCCGTTAAAGTGAACAAGTGTATGGTAATAAATGTCCAAGTAAATCCAATTTATAACGGATCAATAAAGAGATGAGTGATAGTCCCAATAATATTACCATACACTTGTTCACTTTAACGGATATTTATTTTTCACAATGTTGGTATATCTAGCACTTTATCATTTATTTATGTTGTTATAAGTGCTACACTTTTATAATATCACATGCTATTTTAGAAGGTTTTTGGTTTCCTTTTTTAGTGCATTCGCTGCTTCCATGATTAAGCGCTCGCTGAGTCCCTTTGTTTACAGTACAGTGATGAGACGCTCAGTCGCAGTAAGGCTACGTTCACACTAGCCTTGTCAGCAAGCGGCAGACAGGCGTTTGGGAAGCGTTTTTACCGTTTCACAAACGCCTCGGAATATTCTGCACATTGCAGCACATAGTGCTGTTCACGCGGGAGCATTAGCGTCGCTTTGCGGCAAAAACAGACGCCTCTGGTCGAGTCAGGAGGAGTTGAAGCCTCCTATTCAAGTCTATGGTGCCGCTCTGCAAACTCCCAGCTGGCGTGTGCGGTGCGGTGGCGAGGCGTTTGCAGAGCGTTAACACCATTCAAACTTCATTATAGGCGTGTTTGGGGCGTTTTTAATGCTTGGCAGCCGACGCTAAACCGCGCATAAGGCGTTTTTGGATAGTTTGCGGAGCGTTAAAAACGCTCCACAAATTCCGGACCAATGCTTGTCAAACGCTATGGGGGAGTTTGGCAAGAGTTGGAAAAAAAGTCAAGTGTGAACGAGCCCTAAGACATTTGGAAGATGGCCGTACGTCCGTCAGTGATGATCCCGGCCGTGGTGGTTCCCAGCCCACAGCCTGTGAACATTCAGCGCGTAGAACGCCTTGATTCTGGATAATCGACACATAACCTGTTGTGAAATTTGAGACAAATCTTTGTGTGGTCAGCATTTCGGCACTGAGACGAAGTGAAGCCGGCTGTCCTAGGACGGTTCAGGCGTACTGACAAATCTTTCTAAGCTGAAGCTTTCCAGGCATTAGTTAAACGCTGGGTTAAGTGTATAAATGTAGCAGGGGAGTATGTCAAAAAATAAATGCATGTTCTACTCTTTGAAAATTGTTCTTTTTATTCTATAATCTTGAATGCCCCTCGTATATGAACTAAAAATCTCCTTTTTTTTTTTTTTTTGTTTTGTATTACAGTTTGCTAGAGAGGGTGCATTGCAGTGTGCAGAGGGTTTATCCAGAATTTTTCAGAATGTAAGTCACACACGTATGTATGTATGTATGTTTGTATGTACAGCCTAGGAGCGGAGTCTGTGACCTGTATGTATGTGAATGTAAGTCACACATAGGAGGGGAGTCTGTGACAGACATAGGTAGAACATTTCTTCTCAGCTCTATTGGGATACTTTTGGGATGTATATTCTGTGACCTGCCTCTGTGTATTGAAGGTTTTTACCCAACTGCAAGCTGAGCTAATATACAGCAGCTCCAGATTACACCGTCCAGACTGAGCATTACATTGAAAGAGGGAATCTGGTATCTGCTCCTATAATTGGGCTCAGAAGAGATATTTGTAGACACAAGCAACAGCTATCTTATCTCCTCATGTACTGTAATATATGTCCTGGGAGGGATGACCCTGTCGGGTTGATGTACTAAAGGCTAATGGACTGCGCTCTTTGCAAAATGCAGTTGTACCCTCCAAGAGCAGTTCCTCCAGAGCTTAGTAAATGAGCAGAAGCTCTGCTGACATCTATCATCCAATCATATACAAGCAAAAATGCTGGGGTTTTGGGGGGGGGGGTTTTGTTTTTGTTTTTTTGGGGGATTTTTTGTTTTTTGTTTGTTTTGGGTTTTTTTTTGTTTTGTTTTTTTTTTTCTTTTTTTCTTTTTCCTTGCACGTGATTGGGTATTCTCTGCAAAGTGAAGCTTCACCTCGTTTCCTAAGCTCTGGAGCAACTGTACTTAGAGTACAACTGCACTTTGCAAAGTGCACAGTCTATTGGCCTTTAGTAAATCAACCCCTGTGTGTGACTGTAAAAGGAGGCTGACGGTTTTGTGGTATGTACAGAGTCTCCTGTATTTGTGTATATTTGTGAAACAAAGGGACATCATACGCGTCGCTTTCCGGGTCACAGCGAGAATGGGAGTGGAGGTGTGTCCGCTCTTTTTTCTCCCCTCCACCTGCCATGTCGGCCCCGTAGATAGACAAGCGGAGCCGGAATACATGGTGGGGGGGGGGGGGGTGCTTAATTACTGTGGGTTTGTGGAAGCAATTAGGCAGCTGGTGGCTTCCACCTGGCAGGCCGAAGTCTGCCTGTCAGTTTTACACACAACCCCGGTGGTTGCAGCAACCGGATGGTGTGTAAAAACCCCCCCCCCACTGTCAGGTCCGTACGATGTATGGACTTGGCAGCAAAAAGTTTACAGTGTATTCCCTTTGCCTGGTTTAAATGGTGCCATCATTACCCATGGTTACAGTCTTGATTACCCATGGTTACAGTCTTCATTATCCACGGTTACAGTCTTGATTACCCACGGTTAACACAGTCTTGATTACCCACGGTTACAGTCTTGATTACCCATGGTTACAGTCTTCATTACCCACGGTTACAGTCTTCATTACCCACGGTTACAGTCTTCATTACCCACGGTTACAGTCTTCATTACCCACGGTTACAGTCTTGATTACCCACGGTTACAGTCTTGATTACCCACGGTTACAGTCTTGATTACCCACGGTTACAGTCTTGATTACCCACGGTTACAGTCTTGATTACCCACGGTTACAGTCTTGATTACCCACGGTTACAGTCTTCATTATCCACGGTTACAGTCTTCATTATCCACGGTTACAGTCTTCATTATCCACGGTTACAGTCTTCATTATCCATGGTTACAGTCTTCATTATCCATGGTTACAGTCTTGATGGCCCTTTAAAGCAGGACGCTAATCCTGCCTAAGCGTGTGACATAACCTCTGTGTTATTCATAGAAAACACGTTGGAAAATCCTTCTGTGAAAAAGGCACTAAGGCTGCATTCACACCAGCAATTAGGGACGGTGCGCCTAGTAGCAGCAGGAATCACTTTGTGTGCGTCTATCAGCAATCACTGCAGGTAATCGCTGGTTGTGCAGAGAGCTGCGGCCGTCCGCGACCTGTCATTATCGTGAAGGGGGCTAGTGGCTGCACCGAACTGCTGCTACAGATCACACCGACCCTCATTGCTGGTGTGAATGTATCCTCATTGTTGAGGCCCTTATACCTCTACAATCCATCCTTACGTGGGAGAATACAAGATGTGGGGCTGTGTGTGGCCCTTCCGCTTCTTCAGCCTGTTATAGCTGCCACTAGTGGCTGGGTACAGATACGGCATTAATTCCAGTGATTGATTGAATTTAAAACAAAAAGCACAGACAACAAATGATTCTGAGCGTTCGGTTAAACTGGTTCTAAAGGCTCAAGGTTTTTTACATTCATGCATTCTATATACGAAGGTAAAAAAACCTTCTGTGTGTAGCAGCCCCCCTAATACTTACCTGAGCCCCCCCTTGATCCAGTGATGTCCACCAGAGCTTTGGTTCTCCGGGGACTCTCACTCCTGAGTGGCTGAGGGAGCAATGGGAGCCATTGGCTCACGCTACTGTTAATCACAGCCAGTGAGCCAATGAGGATAGAGAGGGGGCAGGGCCGTGCCGCGCCGCATCTTTGTGTGTGAATGGACACGCAGAGCGGCTTGGGAGCACACCTGCTCGGGTACCTCCAGAGCAAGTTGCTTGCTGTGGGGGCACCCGACAGGAGGGAGGGGCCAGGAGCGCCGAGGGGGATCCGGGACTTTAGTATCACTTTAAGGAAATTGGCCAGGAACGTCCCTCTTTGATGTGTTGCACTTTTGGTGATTTAAGTTGGCTGTACATAGATCGAAACTCAGCTGGTTCATCAGGAACCGACTGAACTTTAGTCCATATATTGCCATTTCTGTCCATGAGAAGTCAATCTATTGATCGGCTTTTTATGAAGCGGCTGGTTGGTCATTTCTGCTCAATCAGCGCATGCAGCCAATGGACTGCAGCTCTGATCAGTGTCTTCTGATGGCGGGAAAGTCCCACTTTCAGAATACAATGACACAGTTGGGTGGATTTCCCCATCGACCTTGAATATGTGGATGGGGAAATTGGATCAGTTTTTATCGTTCACAGTCTTAGCATAGCTCCTTCATCCCTGCTTTTTAACCCCCCTGGCGGTATTCCTGAGTGTAGCTCGGGGTAAAGTTTGAGTACCAAAAGCAGTAACCCCCCCGAGCTACACTCGGGAATATCTTGCAGCGTTGCTCTTGCATCCCTCGGTCACTTACCTTGTCCTGCGCTCCCGCGATGTCCCCCCTGCAGTGTCCCCGGCAATGTCCTCCGGCCGATGCCGGTATCTGTCTTCCGGGTTCCGTTCCCTGCGACGTCGGGACGTACGGGGGACGGAACTGGCGGGAAATTCAAAAATGTTAAAAAGTGACATTCACTAAATACACTAAAATCACATAGTATTCCATTCCTGTATCAAACCATTTCACATACATTTTGTCCCGAGTGCTTTGTCCGGCGCCCTGCCTGCATTTTTACTGTTCTTTCTGCCTGGAAACTGAGAAACGTCCATGGCGTCCAAAAAGCGTCCCTTTAGGTCAGACGCGGTTTTAGACCGGCTAGAGAACAGCGATAGTAAATCAGAACCACTTGCAGAATTGAGTGATAATGATTGGTGGGGGAAATTCGTCATCAGACACTGAAAATGATTTTGTGACTTTGCTCAGCGATGTGCGAACTTGGCGCTATATTTCACATTTCAGTGTTTTTGGTTTGATTACATGAATTAAATTTATAATTTTTTTATGAATATTATATTATAATTTTTATGACTTCGTGTTTCAAATTTTATCATCCCCGGGATGTTTACTAGACTCTCTTGTTCGGACAGATTTCAGTGAGTTATTCCTAAAAATTACAGGCCTACAATAATAAAAATACATATTTACATGCAAAAAAAATACCGCTTTGAGCGCAGAAATACTGACATAATCAGACCGCTAGGGAGGTTAATATGTGTCCTCTGTTCCTCAATCAGGTGAAGGAAGTCATGTCTCGTGTCGATATGGATCAGTTACTGGGGCCAGAATGGGACCTCTATCTCATGACCATCATCGCATTACTCCTGGGGACAGTCATCGCTTACCGACAAAGACAGCCGCAGGTGGTTCCGCGACCTCCGGCTCCCAGACCTGCTGCACAAGACCCCCCTCCTCCACAGCAGGATCAGCCCCAGCAACAGCCGCAGGAAGGCCAGGCACCGCAATGACATGGCGTCACGTGACGTTACCACGGACTGTCCCAAAGGCTTCCAGGAGTCGGCTTGTCCCGACGTCCGATCTGAACATATGCAACCCCTTGGCCACACCGAGTGACATCTGAAATGAAAGAAAGATCAGTTTTTGCTCTCTTCTTTGTCATTGTTTGTTTGCTGTACAAAGAGAAAAAAAAAAAAAATCTATTTTAAACAGCAGAGCACAGTCCGCAGTGATTTCCATTATTTATTACAGACTTCTGGAACTCTACAAATACTTTTATGGAGAATTTCCGTGCTGAGCCTGGGCTTATATCAGAGGCAGTGGTGATGGACGTTGCTCCGGTTTGGCTTTCCTCGTGTCCAGTGGTGCAATTTCCTGCCAGTCTGCTCATAACCGTCCCATAGTCACACTATTTGCCTGGGTGTTCCCTGTAGATTGGGTGGCAGGTGGCACTAATAGGACTCGGCATCCCGTTTTCCTGATCAGTATCCAGCTGGACAGGAGTTCTGCAGACATGGGGGCACCTCTGGGGCTTCACCATGAACCCATCAGTAACTGTGGGTGGAGGCATACTTCTTACTGATTTTATATGAACCCCCGTTGATGCTGAACAAATCAGATTTTTAATTTCAGCATTTTTTTTTTTCATTTCTGTTAGTCACCTGCGTAAAGGATTGTTGGATTGTTCCAGCGGCTTCAGAGATCTGCCCATTATGTTTGCTGATTATGGCTCCCTGAGGCAGACGCTCTGTGCTGTCCCTTGGAAAACCCCTCTCTAACCTACAGGCTGCAAGTGTACCTGTCACCTGTACATGAACGGAAGAAGCCATGCTGTGCTTATAAAGTTACCCGTCCTCGGGATTCTTTCAGAAACGTGTAAACGGCGTCCTCTGTGTGTACGTGACAGGTACACTTGATCAGGAGAGGAAATGACGCTGCTGTATTTGTACAGTGTAAATTCAGGGTTCGGCAAAGAGCTGTGACTTGTGAGTTTTATTTAAGTAATAAAATCTGAAAAGAAATCTCTGGCTCTGGTCGTTTTTTTTTTTTTTTATCCTGTGTTGAGTTCAAGTATCAGCTAGGACCCCCCCCCCCCCCACCCCCATTGTCGCACATGAAATTCATATAGAATGAGTTCCATGTTGATACATTATCCATTTTACACACATAAAATTTTGTACATAGTTACATAGTTAGTCTGGCTGAAAAAAGACAAATGTGTCCATCCAGTTCAACCATTAAAAAAAAAAAAAAAAATAATAATATGATCCTATACCCACAGCTGATCCAGAGGAAGGCAAAAAAAACCCAGCAAAGCACGATCCAATTTGCTCCTGCTGGGAAAAAAAATTCCTACCTGATCCCCCGAGAGGCAATCAGATATTCCCTGGATCAACTTTTACCTATAAATGTTATATCCAGTTATATTCTGTGTATCCAAGAAAGAATCCAGGACTTTTATAAACCAATCCACTGAGCTGGCCAGAACTACCTTTTGAGGGAGTCTATTCCACATTTTCACAGCTTTTACTGTGAAGAAACCTTTCCGTGTTTAGAGATTAAATCTCTTTTCCTCCAGATGTGGGGATAGGTAGCGGGTACCAACCTACCTGGTGTGAGCACATGTTCAGGCACAGATAAAAGTCCAGTGATGTAGTGACAAACAGTGGTGTGTTTTATTTGTGCTGTGCAGTGATCCAAACCGAGAGCGCAAAAACTTCCAAAAAACAAAATCCTAGCCGTGTCACAACACTATCACAATCCTGGCTGTCAGGCTTTCCAAGTCTGTTGTTTGTCAGCCTCCACATACACAGATTGACAGCTTCCACCAACCCTTTGGCTCTAACAGACACAACGGGGTTTATTTACTAAAGCTGGAGAGTCCAAAATCAGACTCCCTTCTGCATAGAAACCAATCAGCTTCTAACCTCAGCTTGTTCAATGAAGCTTTGGCAATGAAACCTGGAAGCTGATTGGTTTCTATGCAGAAGGGAGTCTGATTTTGGACTCTCCAGCTTTAGTAAATAAAACCCCATCTTGTCTGTTCCCCAGGCTCAAGAGCCCTGACTGTGTGTCCCAGACGACTCTAAAATTTAGAGCCAATGGCTTCCACTGCTGCCTCAGGAAGCTGGAAGCTGATTGGCTCCCATGCACAGCAGCACCAGATTTTACTCTCTCCAGTTCTAGTAAATCAACCCCAATGTGTTTTGGGGGCCACACAATCCCCCTTCATCGGGACTGGAGGAAAGGTTTAATATAACACACATAAAAAAATAATAATAAAATAATTGCTACTAGAAATCTATTTTATAATCAACAATTCGAAGAAACTGGGAAGCCCAAACAGGAGAGAACAAAAGTTCATCCGTTGTGTTTTCATCCCATGACCTCATACAGGGGACCTGTTTGTAGAAAAACTTTACTTTCCATAGAAGTCTCATTCATTGATCGGGTTATTTATTAATGGACATTCACAGATGTTCCCATGCGGGTTGGGATTTTGTATCTCTGGACGTTGTTGATCCGTGAGCTGGTTGTTGGCTCTATAAAGTGGTGAATGCGATAAGCGATTGATAATATTAGGGAGAAATCGCTGATGATGTATTTAGTATCTCGCTATCTTGCAAACACAGTTAATATCGAACAATTATTGCAGCTCTTCTGCCAGGAAAATGATCCAACCTCCCCCTACACTCTCTCAAACACACGGGAGGTATCTCCACACCCCCCCCCCCCCTCCGGTATGGACTTTGACAGCACAATGAAACTGCTGCACAAAATAACCCCCAACAGGGAAATGCCTATTAGTGCTGCCCAGCCAGCGAACATACCACATCGTCCCTGGGGGCTGACAACTCCTAGACATTCAATGTATGAAATGTAGAGAGAAGACGTCAGGAAGATGGCGGCATCACAGGTGCCCCTACTAGTCTGCATGCTGTACCTGCACTGTGTATACGGTGAGTGTCTTTTCCAGGTAATATAGGAGGTCTGCAGAGTATTGCTCTCATCTATCCATGACCGGTACATAATATATTCTGCAGATTATCCCATCCAGGGGTGTCCCTAGGGTTGTTGTCACCCGGTGCGATAACACTTGGTGACACCCCCTCCGACGATCCCAGCAGAATGGATTGGATCCAGGGGCGGACTGACCATTCGAGCACTCGGGCACTGCCCGAGGGCCCGGGGTCAGTAGGGGGCCCCATAAAATGCCTCTGGTACCTTTTTTATAGGCTTTTTTTGGGTGTGTTTTTTGAGTGTGGGCAAGGACACAGGGGCCCCATGATCCCCAATTGCCTGGGGGCCCCATGAGTTGTCAGTCCACCCCTGATCGGATCTGCAGATTTAGCATAATGGACCGGACTCCGATCCATTATGCTCAATCCTCAGATCTGATCCATCCTGCGGGGATCGTCAGCTTGCTTTTTCGTGGAGCGGGTCCAGTGTCACCCTGTGCGGTAGGTGTCATTCGGTGCTGCGCGCACCCCCCCCTGTACCTGCCTAGGGATGCCACTGATCCCAATCTGAAGAGCATTGCTCTGCTCTGTCCCATCTTTATCCTGACAGATAAATATTGATATATTCAGCAGATTATTCCTTCACTAAGAAAAGGTGCGACTACCAAAGCTCAACGAGGTTTCAGGGGACATGTAGATAACCACGGTATGGGCAGCTCCAACAACTCAACTGACCAGCAATGAGACATGGACAACAAATAGAGGAGCGCTCCCAACCCTGTGGAAGTCAATAGAGTCACAAGCCCAGGAACAGATAAACTCGAAATACACTTTAATGTTGGGTTAAAAAGCAGGACATGTAGGAGTTCCCAGATGGAGACATCACCAGGTCATTGGAGAGGAGAAACATATTCCCCGAAGCTGGAGGATGATACATGAATCCTGCCATCCACACACCCTTCCCACTGTCCTGAGGCTCCTGGACTGAGCAATCTACCGTTGGGTCCAGAATTATGTGTCATCCTCAAGCTTCGGGGAATATATGTTTCTCCTCTCCACTGGCTTGGTGATGTCTCCATCTGGGAACTCCTAAATGTCCTGCTTTTTAACCCAACATTAAAGTGTAATTCGATCTTATCTGTTCCCGAGGTTGTGACTCTATTGACTTCCATAGGGTTGGGAGCGCTCCTCTATTTGTTGTTTTGTTTTTATTCCTTCACTAGCTTCTCTAGAGATCTGCCAAACATTGCTCCATCCCAACACATCCCCCTAAGAGCTGCACATTGATGTATTCTGATAAATAATACTGAACGTTCTAGTGAGACTTGATAGCTTTATGTGTCATTAATGACTGCATGGAAATGTACACTCTATTGCCAGAAGTATTGGTTGGCCTACCTTTCCACGAACATGAAATTTAATGGCCCCCCAGTCTTAGTCCGTAGGGTTCAATATTGAGTTGGCTCCGCCCTTTGCAGCTACAACAGCTTCAACTCTTCTGGGAAGGCCGTCCACAAGGTTTAGGAGGGTGTCTATGGGAAGGTTGGACCATTCTTCCAGAAGCACATTTGTCAGGTCAGGCACTGATGTCGGGGGAGAGGCCTGGCTCACAGTCTGAGCTCTAATTCATCCCAAAGGTGTTCTATGGGGTTGAGGTCTGGACTCTGTGCAGGACAGTCAAGTTCCTCCACCCCAAACTGGCTCCTCCATGTCTTTATGGACCTTGCTTTGTGCACTGGGGGGCAGTCATGTTGGAACAGGAAGGGGCCCCATCCCCAAACTCTTCCCACAAAGTTGGGAGTATGAAATTGTCCAAAATGTCTTGGTATGCTGATGCCTTAAGAGTTCCCTTCACTAGAACCCCTGAAAAACATCCCCCCTCCACCAAACTTTACACTTGGCACGATGCAGTCAGGCAAGTACCCTTCTCCTGGCATCCGCCAAACCCAGGCACGTCCATTGGATTGCCAGACAGAGAAGTGTGATTGGTCACTCCAGAGAACAAGTCTCCACTGCTCTAGAGTCTTGTGGCGGCATGCTTTACACCACGG